TTAAAAAATAATAATAGATAAAATTATTATTAGAGCAAATTGTTTATTTAAAAAATTGCATATCAGATAAAAAAATCACAAAATCCAAAGAAAAATTATAACGAAAAATCATTATTTGTTCTAGACGTGAAAATCAAATAACGTTTACAATGAAAGTTTCCTTTTAGGTAATATTTGTGTTGAATCGATTTTAACGGCCGCATAGAAATGCAAATTATTACCCTTAACTTGTCCAATATCGCCACAAAATGTTGAATCGATCGATCGAAAGGGATAATGAGAAATGTGGCAGCCGCAGTCCATTAGACTTTGTTCCATGATTATAGGAGAAACCTGTTACGGAATAGTGACTGTTAGGACTAAATGAGATACGCCATTTTACTTACACGATAGTGTCCGGTTATTAGTGGACATTTATCAAGGAAGCTTATTTCGTACAGCTGATTCCCCAAGATCTGCAGTTGATTTATGACTCACATAAGCGCAAATCGAATCCATCTATTGCGGAAATGATCGTACGCGGAATTTCAGCAGAATTTCTCAGTAGGGTCTGCTTTACGTAAACTATGTCTAAAATTCGTATATTTAATGGACTTGCCGAAGTACAGCTAATGCTTATAGCAATAATAAGTTTTCCTGATAATTTTTATTTAAATGGAGATAACATGGATTAAAAGAAAACTTTTATTATTATCTTATAACATATCTATTATTACTTTAAATGTATTTTATATATAATATATATTATTAATTTTATATCTTTAAAGATTATAATATTAATTTTATTTATATATTAAAATCTTTATATACATATCTTTCTGCATATATATAAAATATATTTTCTGTTATACAAAATGGTATCTCCAGAATATGTAAATTGTGTTCAGATCCTCCGATATTCCAATAAGGTAGCCTGACATTCGGCGCCGAGAATTCAATTACAGGAAAAGACACAGAAGGAGACGTCTGCGAGACGTATCTGCCTTGGCGTTATCCACTCTTGAATATGCAAACGCTACTCCGTGCGCGACGTTTAACACGCGAAGAACTCCCCTACGGTCGATCGCACCTAGGATACAGACGACTCGCACCGGGTGCACCTAAATGCATGGTGCAACTTAGGTACGTGTTTCGTGATACAGCGGGATTTATTTGGCGATAAAGTACCGTAGTACAGTATTTCGAGACCCACGAGTATCTTGAAATGAAAGTGCTGGAAGAAATTTCATTTACCGATGCTTCTTCCTTTAGATTTTATCATTGTTACGCATTATCGTTTTATATTGCAGTATTTTGTATTTTGCATTTTAAATTTCTAGAATTTCATAAAATGATTAATATATATTTCTTAACTACATTCCAATTTTATTGAAATCTATAATATGATCTTGGATGAAGAACAATTTCATTCTATACATGTAACTCAAGAATACAACGGAGGAATTCTATTCTATTGTACATGAGAGCACAGAACATCACTCTCTGCCTCCGTCACAGAATTAATTGTTTTCATCCTAATAGAGAGAGATAGGAAATTCCTATTCAAATTAAGGACCTATGCTGAATATGTCTCATCGACAATGTAGTGGGAAGAGAATGTGTACAAACATATGGTAATTTACACTTGCTTACACGACAAATTAGCATTTGGATAGACGTATTAAATATGAGTGCATACGTATAAAGAAATCAACTGCTACTTAGAAAGAGTTTTTTTGAGAATGACCTTTCGTTGTTACGCTGATTTTCAACATAAAAAAAATAGCTTCTAAATAAAATCACAAAATATTTAAAAAATTAAATTTTGAAAAATTTATGTGTTAAATGATTCTATATCTTTTCAGATTTCATAAAATTTTAAAAAGTCTGCAATTTTTTTTAAACTCATCTAAATCTTATTTATAATTTTGTTTGTAAGAAACTGTACTGTAAGATTTTGCTATTTAAATTGTTTCACGGTAGTTCAAATTTACGAAATGACTGATGCTTTTATTCTTTTTTTATTATAACTTTCAACTGGTAATCTATTAATTATTTAAATATTTTAATCGCAAAAAAATCTTTTTCAAGTTCAAGTCAGTAAACTTATAAAATTGATAGTTTTGTATGGAACATTGTACTGTGTGTGTGTGTGTGTATGTGTGTGTGTCTGAGAAATATCCTTTAAGGCTAGTGTATGTCAAGGAACTTGCGTGGGAGGAAGGGCGGGTAGTAAAAGTGCTCGTAATCGTTCCGTCTGTATCTAGCCGCACACGCGATCCACGGATTAAAATTAACAACCGCTCCGGCATATATTGATTGCACGCTCACCTTGACACCGAGCGGGAGGTTCGTTCCTCCAGGTCGCACAACGATGGTCGCACGCAAAGGTTCCGGTGCAGAGAACCTCGGTAATGTCTCCCTCTCTCGACATTGAACCTGCCCGCGTAAATACCGAAATTAGATGCTGCCGTCCATCGGAAAATCGGATCGTTGTTTCAGCATTTAACGCGACCTCGTAGCAATCTCTTCGAAATAGCTGAAGTGAAGCTAAAAGCCGAGCATGACTCAGATTCGAATTGCGAAACAATTCTTCAATAATCCCTTAATTAATTTTAACGTGTTAGTGCACTTTAATTTTTAAAAATTATACTATACGAAGAAATATAGAAATGCGACAAAATTGCAAACATATTCACAAAGTGAATTTTTACGTCCGAAATTTTTACTCTTCTAACATAATTTTTGCAGAAGTGAGACTTATGAGATGAACAAGAATTATTAAATATAGAATAAAAAAAATATATAAACATAGTTTAAATATAAATTTAATAAATATATTAATTAAATATTATTACAATAAGTGAATTAAATTAATTAAATTATTCTAACAGTAATAAAATTTTTAAGAGAGTTTAGGTTGAAAATATCAAACGATAAATTGACAAAATGATATTGCTTTATATGTTATATATATTTCACATTCATTTTGTTATACAATAAACATTTTAGAATTCTAACTAAATAAAGTCTCGCTATAAATATGTAACGGCTGTACTATCTCTTAAATCTCTCGATCCTCCTTGACAGTCGCACTTAGGGGAGCAATAACATCATTGCACAAGGGCGACGGAATATCCCCAGGCCGCTCCTGGCACGATCAAGTCGATACAGACTCTTATCGTCAAGTATATATATAGACTATCGACAAATGTCCATTGCAGTCCATGTCGAAATTGGAAATGCTCACCAAATAAGGAGGAATTCGCCCAACCATAAGAAACAGAACCAGAATCAAGAACAACTTTCGTAGTTCCTCGCATGAATACTGACCAAATACTTCTCTATTTCCGGAAATAAAATGTCTATATTTCCGACATTTGTTTTATATAAAACGCACGTAGACATTTTTTAATTTCATGGCTGTAGATTTAGTTTCAATTTCGCTAAAATAAATATACCGCATCATATTTCTTTTACGTCTACATTACTCTGTAATTTATACGCTAGATAGATTAGACTTACATTGCTTCCGAAACAAACAATCTCCATCACATTGTTATATTTTTCCGTATCTCAGATCTAAAATTGCATGCGGTAGAAAGAGTTTTTCCTGTCTCCCGTGGGCGCTTATCGCCATATAATTTATAACATATGACAGGAAGCGTGAGAGGAAAAGTCGCCTCTCGCGACATAATTTATTCGCCGGACGTGGCGGCGACGATCTCGAGAGCGTGTTCGACGTAAGCTCAAAACGTAGAAACCGCCAGACGATCGGCTCCGACGTAAGATATCGTAACGTATGCCTTACGCCAGACGGCCTTTAGATCGTCTCGCGGCATATTTTATTCAGCGAAGCACATTTTTGCGACTGAACACGTTTCAGCCGTTCAGAAACGCAGGTCCTGCATGCACATACCGGAGTCCTCTTCCCGGGAAGGCTTGCAAAAAGAATCCTTGTAGTATCGCGAGTGAGAGAATAAGATACACGGTTAGCCTTCTTTCTGTTTCTGCGAAATTGGTTTGGTAATATTTTAAACGAAAACATACGAAAAACTATTGCTTGAATATTCACCTTTCGGCAAAAATGCAAATTCTCTGGCTGTTATGAAATATACATCAGAGAGAGATAGACTATTCTCTCTACGATATAATTTATTCCTCTTTTTTTTCTCTACACAAAATAGCTGTGAAATCGGTTCCAGATTCCGAATAGGCGGTAGTCTTCGCTTATTTAAACATTAAGCAAGCTTTCGCAACACTATTGAATTTCCATTCGACGACAGATTTTATTCTCACGTTTCTTGCACTTTTTTAATACAAAATTAAACGCCCTCGCTTTCACACGTAGAAGAATCCCAACACAAATACTTATATAATAGAGACATTTAGAAATATTCTTCTCAATATCCGTTATCTATTTCTTTGTGATCATAAAGAAAAAAATGTTCCAAACATATATTCTTGGGGAAAACAGGTTTAAGAAGAATAACTAACAAAACCGTTATCACACATTAAAGAAAGTTATCACAAAAAGAAGTATTAAATATAAAGAATTTAACAGGGACTTATTTCTTTTCGCTTGTCGATATTTTTGCGCTGTACCTGTCAACTTTTAGCGCGGCAACGACGGCAAACAGCCGTAAGGTGTACGTGACGTTTCCGAGTACCAAGTATAACAACGTGTGCGACGTGCGCGCGCGAAATCGTCAGCAAAATCGGCGAAACTGGAGTACTACACCGCTATATAGTGTACATACCATTACCTACTACCGTTTTCGCTTCACCGAAATTCGGCTGGTACCCTCCTACGCTTCCGGCGAGCCATTGAGTTCGTTTCGCGGAGGATTTACGAGCGCGGGGCCATTGTTCTTGGACGCGACAACTTTCGGGAACGATATCCGATATAAGTCAGCCTAAGGCGCAATCTGAAAATCCTGTCCGGAAAAATTGCGGAGGAAGAGGCCACATCCTGATAAGTACCTAACGGATAAATCTATTTCCTTTTTTTTTTGTTTCAGGACTCTACTTCCCGCAATCGAACCTCACTCTAAAGCTCCCGTACTCGGCTCGACGCGACGAGGTCAAACTAATCGGCCTCAGGACCCTACGGAACGACTCCGTTGCGCCGAAAAATGTGGAGTATCAGATCCGCATGCCGCGGGAAGAGTCTGTAATTTACCTTAGAAATTCGAGCGAAGTTATGCTACGGAATCTTTCGAAAAATGGTACGGAAACATTTTTATTTATTATTTTCTACAAAGAGAAATTTTATTTGACATTGTAAACAGATAATAATTAATGTGTAATTGGAGTTTTTAAAATAGTTTTTCTCTTTTACGTTGTAAGACGACCTCAATATCATTATCAAAGCGACGGAAAAGAATTTTGGCGAAGCGGTGCTCGAGATAAAAGTGCAACCAGTACCGGTGAAGGGAAAAACAATCAATTGTGCAGATTTCGTGCAGGTAAATTGTCGTAATAAATTTCTACTTCCTTCTGAATATTCGCGCGAGCGACCCGTTTAACCCATTAACCATCGCAGTTGTCACTTGGAATTCATGTACCATGCGCATAAATAATGAAAAATTGATCTGAATAATATGAAAATTGAATTAAACCCATTTATTATTCGGCGAATGTAAAAGCATCACAACTAGTGATTTGTAGAAATTTGTTTCATTTGATCGCTTTGCGATACAAGAAGATAAACGACCGTTAACGGGTTAAAGCGCCAAGGTATATTTTATCGGAGGCGTCGGTCCACAAAGTTCCTCGCGTTGCAGGACATGTGCTTCTGGAACACGTCGAGATACAAGATTTATGAGAATCAACCAGTCACCATGATTGGCATGTTCGGCCCGGAGGCATACAGCTACGTGTGTCCCGAATTTCGCGTCACCAGATATGAATTATTGAATGGCAAGTATCTTCAGTGATATCTCAATCCTTTTAGTTTTCAAATCCAATCTCGTGTACTTTCATTCGATTACTTTATTTACGAATATAAATAGTTTAAATTTTAAACATTAATTTATCTACAAATTTTTAAAAAATTTCTGGAGGGTCTAAAATTAATTTATGAGGAATTCGGAAACTCCATTCCCCTCGCGCTTGAGATCTTTATCCTCCTTCGTGTTCTCAATAAGTCGCATCGTTGCGTCACCCTAGCGATCTTCGTTAAACCGTCAGGTTCATGTTTACGAGAGATAAATCTACCATCAAGGATCGAGCATTTTGCACTGACAAAGCCGGGAGAGCAACGAAACGGTGATTGATTGGAGTCATGCGACATAAAATACGAATAAATTCTGCCGCAACTGTTCGCGGCAGTGAGGAGCGCTAAAGCTGCCGTCGGATCAGCGCGAAACTGTCATCATTAAAATTCACTGAAGACGTCGTTAGTGTTGCAATGGCAGCAGTAATACGTAACAACAGAAACCTGTGGCCCTCTTTTGTGTGCGCCGAATCATATATCAAATCCCCCAAATCTCTTCACCGACGATTTAAATTTTATTTTTCGTCCGCTGAATACAATAGAAGTGGCTACCGGGAAAATGTTGCAAGCGCCATATTTCAAATGCGGCTTTTTGGATGAGAGCTAGAGAGAGAGAGAGAGAGAGAGAGAGAGAGAGAGAGAGAGAGAGAGTTTAAGCTAACAATAGTGAGATATAAACATTAAACTTTTATAGAAAACCGCGAAAAAAATACACTCACATATAGAGATATATAGATTACTTATATTAAAATATTGACCAATTTAAATATTTTGTTAAGATTATATATTATTTGTAAATGCGTCAGAAAGTATTGCAACATTAATAATAACTTTGATGTCAATATCTAAAATTATGTGGGATATGTGTGAAAATAAGAGTTTTTTATATTAATTTGAATAATACGGGTAATACATTAAAATAATATGTATTATTATAATATTACAGCTTTTTGTTAATTGTCAATGTTTTAATATATTACGACAATATTTTTTCATTAGATTCTTATCTAATAAATTTGGCGCTTGCACCACTGTTCCTGGAACCTCTTCGATTATGGTAATTTATGCTAACGATATAGGTGCTTTGCTACCACAGACCACTTTTGAATAACGCATACGCTATACTACACTTGATATTGAACTTGAAGCAACGTAGGAACAACGAGAGTTGAATTTTATTCTCGTCTCACAGGAACGGACTATTTTCACGTAGTGAACGGTAAGTTATTTGCGAACGCATCCTTAGACCGAGATGTTATCGGACCTCCGGGAGGACCTGGACCTCACGTCAAGATCCAAGTGAGATGTGTCGTTTGGGAAGAAAAGACCGGGATGCAGCACGTGCAAACGGACGTTCTCACCATCGACATTTTGGACGAAGACGACAATCCTCCGACGGTGCAAGGGAACACTTCCATCGCTATAACGCTTCCGGAGTTCTCCAAGGTAATTTTACAATATCGAAATTGAGCCAACTAAATTAACGCTTGCCACGATCGTTCAAGTAACTTAGGACCAATTAACTTGCTGGTATTAAGTAAGTCAAGATTTATCGTCATGGGAGCGTAAGGGCATCGCTGATCTATATCGAAATCCCGCCCCGTCTATGTTCTAGTTTTAATCCAACTTTATGATCCTGATAATATTCACTTTTCTGTTTTATATCTTTCATTAAAAGAAAATTAAATTGTTGAATCAAACTTTCTATAAGTTAAATGTAAATTATTTATTTGCGCCTTTATTTGTAAATAAATAAACATATAAAATGTAAAAAAGCAGTATAAGATATCAGATCTAAATTACATTTCTGCAAGAAATCACAAAAAAAATTATTTAAAAATGTATAGATAAGGATCGTCGAGTCAAAATTTATTTTTTTTCAGAATAACTTCAACTGTCCTTATTTTATTTGTTAACTTGCCCAACATCCGGGAGCATTTTATTTGACAAATTCAGCGTTTCTCCATGAATGAATTGCGCTTTTCAACCGCGGCGTCACCACGCTGGAAACGAGACTTAATCAAGCACTCATTGTTCGCGTAATTACTGCGTTGTTTTCAACACGATGTGCATAATAAAAAGGAAACGCCAACTGCGACGAGCATTACAAAAGACATACGAGAGTGATGAAGTATACCTACGGCGAGAGAGGAATAGCTTAGCTGGGATTGATCCTGATTAAACCTCTCTCGGGATACCCCTTTCCAACTCCTTCTCATCAAATCCTCTTTTTTCCTCACTACTTTTCACAGTCCTTGGTAAACACCTTTTTTCCTTTCATTCAGCTGTTACTTTTTATTGTTCATTTCACTTCGATGAAGGAGCAATTGTTTCGTTCGAATAACCGAAACACCTGAGAACTCTCTACGAATCTAGTTGGAGACTTTAATGAGCTAAGTTCGATCAGTTAATCGAAATCTACCGTTTCACTAAGTGCAGTGAAAATACTTAAAACGGTTACTGAAACAATTTAATACCATTAGAAATGGCTAAAAAAAGCTTTATGTATATTTTTCTAATTATTATAGAAGTTTAATAAAACTGAAAGGTTTTCATTATCATAATTGCAGTGAATGAGTAAATTAAAACAAAAAAATGAAATGATAAATTATTGAAATGATAAAGATTACTTGTATATAAAAATAATAGGTATAAATTATGCGGATGTTAAAAAACGTAAATGAAATTAAATCATTTACAATATAATATGCAATCTACATTCGTGACGCAAAATTATGCAAAGAAACGTTTATGTTACAGGGTTCTCCATTGGTGAATGAGAATCTTTTGGTTCTGAAGGACGCGGATGAGGTGACCAGCAACCAATACAGCGTTCATCTGCTTGACGATACGTCCAACGCGTTGACCGTTATTCACAATGTTCTGCCGATCGAGCATCACACGCGTCCGAACCAAGCGCCTTCCACCGGCATTTTTTCTAGTAAGTACATCGAGCACGCGTTCGAGCACTTATTCTCATTTTGCATTCATATTTCGTTTCATATTTCATTCCATTTGATAAATGCCCGCTTGTACTTTTATTGTAACCGAGAACCCGTCTCGCGTATTTTTCAGAGATCTACACCAAGAAGACGCTGCTGCCGAAATCGCCGTATCGCGTAGTCCTTCAATTCACGGATGAATCGCTTCTCGCGGGATACGGGGCAAATACGGTGAGTTCAGTATCGATTCTACGTCACCGACACTCATTGACAAGCAACTTGAAGTACTTGCTCCATTTGCAATGTGTCAAAGGACAGTGGCCAAGTGACTTAAGAGCCGATTCCGAACGTGGTAGCATGTTAGATAGAGTAAAAGCCTAGTTCCTCAACTTTCTCCAGTGCACTTTAAAGATCGGAACACCCCAAAGTGCTTTCTGCCTCTATAATTTCTCTGATCTTATAGTTTAAACGCCTAGCAAGATTTTTTTATTTTATTTCTTCACGCGTATCCAAACAATTAGTTTGAAAATCAAAAAGTAAGATTTTTATTCATGGCAAGACAAATTCTAATATTAATCCAAATTATCGAAAAAATAATAATAGGAATAATTTTTGTTTGCTAAAATATTGATTTATTAAAAATTGACTGCATGCTGTATCGGGGAATCAAATCAGAGCTCTTCGTAATGCACTCATTCGTCGAAATGAACAAAGAGCACACGTGCAGCGTGCCATGCTGAGAATCTGTTGTTCGATTAAAAAAGTTCGCACCGATAAATTTCGCAATATCGGCAGAGGTCCCCGCGATATCTCACCGCCATATGTCATTTGTGAACGGCAAAACTCGAGGCCGAAAGTGCACCGTACTGATCTCATAACTTGCGGAGAGCCTGGTTTAATATACGAGAAGACCAAGACACCCATGATATCTCAGACTTAGATCTATGATCACTTCACGTGAAACGCGGAACTTTCATCCATGAAAGATTGTTCCCCACTCATTTACAGCAAGTACAAATCTCTCCAATAACTATAACTATTGAAATTTAAGTTTGGTTGTTAGAGCGAGATGAAATTGCAATATTAGAAATTTGTGCATAATTAAACAACTGTTAATCCTTTCAGAGGCAAAGCGCTCTTTTTCAGATAAAAGTACCTATTGATAATCTCTCTACCGAGATATCGAGATAACCTCTTAATTGTTAATTTCGAAACTAAATTGATTTACGACTCCACTCTCTCAAAGGCCGTATCCATATTTTCATAAATGCAAGCGTTCTCTCTTAAATGCAAATTTCCTTCCGTTTCTGTCGGGTCCACTTCCGATCGGCATGATACGACATCGATCCGGGTTTGTATCGAGGAAGTCGAAAGATAAGGACTCATTAATGGCCATTAGTCGTGCGCCTTGCATCCGTAATCCTCGCTTCGCCGTATAATCGGAGGCCATTAAACAATTAGGTGGTGAAATCTCGCCTTGTTAGAGGTTCCTTGGGGTGCGGCATTGATTTCGCGGAGGCGGCTAATCGCAGATTAAATACCCGCGTCCGCCATCTGAAATTGGCGTGTGGGTGTAAGTCACTTATTGCCGAGCTTTCGAATAATGCAATTCGTCGTTAACGCGTCGTCTCTGTCTCTCTCTCTCTCTCTCTCTCTCTCTCTCGATGTTTTTTTCCTGACAAACGTATGAACGATCTTTTCGGAAATTTTTCCGTCCCCGGAAAAAACACATTCGTTCAATCGAAATAATCTGACTGACTGCTGCGATGAAATTCACAAAGAAGCTCTCGAAATTGTGACACAAAGCGCAATATGCGCGAATAAACGCATTGTTCCGCATAGAATGCAATCTCCAAATATTTTGTCCCATCGTTTCCGCTAGATGGGAATGTTTAATCATTCACATCTAGTACAATTTGTAGTCGATTCATACAGAATACGTGACTAACGAGCAAAACAGTTTAAATCTTGATGAATTCAAAATTGCAAATTGCAAAGTTTTTTTGCAACATTTTTTTCTAATTTTCTAACGTAATAAATTTAATTGCAAAATTATTTAATATACAAATTAAGTGTACCACGTTAAAAACTAAAATAAAAATTCATTTTTAAAATTTGCATCAAGTAATTTTTGTTTCGATATTTTGACAGAAATATATGTAATGTTGAATAGTACGACAAAATTGTATTTATATTTTACTACAAATTGACAGATCGAGAAACATTTTTTTTGGCTTATCAATAATTATTAAATGTACTCTTGATACATATGTATATCGCTACTAATTATATGTTAAATTCCACTCGCGCGACAGTGCGAAACATGCATCACCCTGAATATATAATTGAAAAGAGGATAATGATTGTAGGAACGGTATGCGAAAGCGATAATAATCGGATGGCATTCGTTCTAATTCGAGCCGCGCTCGTCGTGCTCCTTTAATGGATACCCTATATCATCCGCGCCGCGCACGACTAGCTGCTTAAATTGAAACCACGCGAGAAAATAAATCTCGACGCCGATATCCAAGCGACCTCAGCGACCTGCTCTTGATTTAATATCCCGTGACCCTTAAATCAGGCCGTGTCTGTAGTATCGGCGATCCTCCTGGGTAATCATATCTTTCCTCGCGAAACGCGATATCCTAACGCTCTCTCAGTTAAATGCTGGTCTTCGGCCATGTAAACGCATCCTTCAAAATCACTCTCATTAAATATCCATTGGGAGTTCTTGGACTTTCTCTCACCCTTATTTCTGCTTAAACAAAAAATCGAAATATATTTCTCGATGTTTTATACCTTAAAGTCTAAAATATAATTTAAAAGAATCTTTTTTTTTGTGGGTAAAAGTGGCATGCTAGCACTATCGAATTGTAAACGAACTGAGATTAGAATTTATTCGCAGTTCCTACGCGGCGTTCAAGAAGAGATTGGTACGCGTTTAAGTGCCGAGGAGACTTTGCCCGCTATAACCATTCCATGAGTATACCAAGAAATGGACGATAAATTCTAATAAAGAGCGTCACGTAGCAATCGCACCTGCGGTGGTCTTTAATATTGATTTTTCGCGGTAAGATATCGCGGTTTGAGTTTCGTTCGAGATCCTTTCTAGCCGTGGAGAATCTTCCCAATCGTTTTTCATGTAACAATTTATCGCACGCCTCTGATAAAAGTTTTTAAAATAAATATAATTTTTAATATTGTAAAAGAAAAAGACTTTAATCAGTATTAAAAAAAAGTAATAAACATAATAATAATATATGATAAAAAACATATTAAAAAATTATATAGACATATATAAAGTTTACACATTAAAGTTACACAGAAATAAAGGAGGAGCTTATTCAGAGTATTTCAAAGCAATAATATTTCTTCTCGTTCGTTTTTAAGATTCTCACTCTGTGAACAAGCCAATCCTTCCTCCATCATTAATCATTATGTAAGCTCCTACTACAAGAAAAGCTTCCAGCTACACGAGTATTTCTACATCATTAAAAGAACATTTTAAACAATCAATACTCGCACAATAGCATTATAAAAAGTTTGATAAAAAAAATGAGATAACAAGTAAGTCAATTTAGTAGAAACGCGTAATAACTATAAAAAGTAAAAATAATTATAATACACGAGTATAAAAATAATGCGATAACAAGTAATTTTTCTCCCTTTAAAATTTTATTTGAACGTCAGGATTAACAATAATTCATATTTTCTTTTATTTAGGTGAATATCAGCATAACTTTCTCGGGACCGGTACACCAATCTTTAGCGACCTCAGCACCGCCAACTGTCGCGACGGTCTCGTATCCGACGAATGTGAAGATAGCCCGGATTTCGCCCAAATATCTACGCGTGGCGAAACCTATCGAGAAGCCGCATTCTTCGATTACTTTCGTCTTGAACGGTTCGAGTGCATTCAACGTCACCGAACATGACGGCATCATTTACGTCGCCGATGAAACTAAGCTACAATTCGAGCCCAGTCCCGTTCAGTAAGTCCGTTCGTCTCCTGTAAATGACCCAATGTCGTGCGCGAGTGAATTATTACCTGCAGTCAGATAGCCATTTCTGTGCAGGAAGAGCGAAATGTTATTAACGTTCGCAACTGTGTTTCTGATCTGCAGAACATAAATGCAATTACAATACCTTCCGTTGATCGATTTCCTATATTTAACAAAGTTATAATAATTATATATTGAAACGTGCCAGATACCTACTTCAAAACAAATTAGATCTCCAAGTACTTAACCAGACACGCGAGCACGACCTAAACAACGATTTTTCACGATTTATAAATACCTGTATTATATTCGTATTCTTGTCAGAAATAATCTTTCAGATATTTTTACTGAAAAATCGATAATTTAATAACAAAAAAATATAATGCCTTATATATTTAAAAATTTCTATTTGTTTCTTATTGCTTTAGGAATATATTTGCTGTGAGTCAGGATTTTGAAATTAATTTAATTGGACGCCGCAAAATTATAAGCCCGAAAAATAATGAGTCTATTGGCGTGAGAAGATTTATGTCTTGCGTCTCGATCACGTTAGGTCGATGAGTATCGACACTTTCCCCATCCAGACCAAACCTTCTTGTCGCACGAGCATAATACGGTATATCGATCTGTTCACCAGACTGAAATTAAAATGGATCAGAGCAGATGGTACCGCGATGCTCAAGACGCTGCGAGTGAATCTAGTCAACGTAACGAAGATTGTCCCGTGCGGACAATCGGCTCAAGAGAAGCGCTCATGCGCGAATGCGGAAACGCGCGAGGAATGCGAGAAGTCCTGCGGAATCGGCAGCGGAGTTCTCAGGTATGTATCATCTATTTTCCCACAAACTGAACGACTCCCCTTGAGCAATCATAATCCTTTCGGACGACAAATTCTGCGAAAGCCCTTACTAGGAATTTTGTTTCAAAGATCCAATGTAACAACGAACGATTGAAGTAATTTATAATTTTCTTTTGTAAATATAATAGTCACTGTTAGAACGATCGAATCGTGATTATATACGAGACAAAATAGCAATTATAGTAGATCCTATAACGTTAATTATTATTAGGATTATTATCGTTATATTACAATTCATTTTAATTGTTCGTCATTTGTAGATTATCACGTCTGCAGAACTTTTGTTGAGCAATTTTTCTTATTTTACGCGACAGGAACGTTCCCTTTAATTTCCAAGCGGTGTAAATCCATTACTAGTGAGTTTAACAACAGAAGCGCATTCCATAGAGACCTAGCTCGCGTTCCACAAATGTTGCATATCTTACTTTATAATTACACCACTGGAAAATGGCGCATAATCCCACTTGTTTCTACGTATCACAAATTTTACAAATGCTACTGTGCATTCAAAAAGACTATACTTGCACTTTATAAAAAGTTTAAAATAACATCTACATTGCTCAAGGAAAATTGTTAAAGCATATTTAGGTCATTACGCAATTAATAGGTTTCCAAATAATAGATACAATAGCCATTGTTTGAAAAATACTATTGATCGCGATGGCGATCCTTTATACACAGCAAATCTATTTGCTATTGAACATCCGCGCTATCATTGTGTTTCGGAATTGACGGTGATTTTCCACAAAGAAATAAATGGGGAGGCTAGGTCATTACTTTCGTTCTTTTTCTCGGAAGAACTTCACGTGGCACTGGGCACGATTTCATCGTAACGACTATTTCGGATGATAGCGCGTCCAGGTTTATGGCTTCTCCATTAGGTTCCACTTGACTCGCTTTCCGTGTCCCTCTTGATGATTATCGTTTTCTGGTGTAATAAGGTAAAAGATGTTAATCGACGGTTTAATTTTTTTATCATTCCTTTTGCTTTGTTAATAATAATAACGATTATTCTCTTCCGTATTTTGATTTGTTCCCTGTATTAAAGATGCTAATTTAGTATTGAAAGAATTGTCGTTTATTATTAAAATTGTTTAAAAAAATATACTTTTTTCAATATTTAATCTATTTACTACAAAATTTTTCCTTATCTATATTTTATATAATCTTTTTTCCCCAGTTAATTTTTACCAAATTAAATTTACATATTTCACTCTTCTGAATAAAGGATACTTTTTAAAGAAATATTAAATTTATTTTAGTCGGATCGATTTAGGATTAAATTTATGCCTAAGAATAAATTTGTTAAAATCTTCTTCTTATCGCTTAATACAGTATGATCCGTATAATGGAAGCTCCTAATAATTCTGAGAAAGTAGCTTGTAACACTTTATGTAAACCCCCCTTTCAGTATTATGTGTAATTATAAGAGGGCTTTAATAATGGATTTATGTGCAGCAAAGGCAGTTTCATCGGTCGATGCGTTTGGAGGAGCAACAACGCTTCTCAAATGTCGGAATATTATTCAACTTGTTCTCCGAATTTGTCGTACTGCCCGGACAACGAATGCGACGAACTGGAGCGCAGCAATCCGCACATATGTCCGCAAGACTGCGAATGTGAGTCGTATCTATTGTTTCGTCGATCGGATTAGTGCAGTAAAACCAGCCGCGTGTTAAAATGTCACTGTCACTTTCATCACTTTATCACTGAAAAATAAATGATCAAATAGCAAATTATTTACGACAATTGAAGCGTTTTATAAAAGAAAAAAAAGAAAAAATTTTTTAAAAGGACAAAATTCAAATTTTTTAAATTTCTAAATGTTTTTAAAACGTTTTTAAACTAAAAGTTGTGTTGTTAAAAATGGATCGAGTAGCAAATTATTTACGACAATTAAAGCATTTTTATAAAAAAAAGAGAAAAATTCTTTTTAAAAAGCTCTCTTTTAGATGTATGTAGAAAAAATACAAGCATATATATATAGGGTCGTGTTTTAGATCTTCAGTCGTGACACAGATACTTTCGGTTCTTTTCGTTCAAAAGCCTTCTATTTAAAAGGATTTCGCGTTGTCGTAGTAGTGTTCCGTCGAAAGGGCTTTAAAGGGCTATTGAAGAAGGATTTACTATACTCGTCCCCAAGAGGCACTCGATCGATCTGAGACTGGTTGTATTCGCGTTTTTAGCTGACGTTCTTCTCGCACACATGAACAGCAACGGCCGCGGCATAAAGAGCGGCCTGAATACCTGCACCTGCAACGATCTACTGAAATGCACCTGCGGGGTCGACTCCTTTTTGCATCAAGGAAATGACGTGCCCGGAACGACAAGGGAGGAACGACTGGCCACCGGAAAATTACGTAATCAGGGAAACGATGCTGTCGTGTCGGGCGCGCGCAAAGGTCGGTCATCGCATCTATTCGTCCTTTTCTCTTTCGTATATAGAAATTATATTGTGTGCCAGACGATATCAAATCGCGGAGAAGAGCCATTAACAGCCTAAGCGTAATTGTTGCATAAATATTTATAGAAGCACTGAATTTCGAAATTAAAAACTACGAAATATTTCAATCAAAGTTATCCAAACATTCCACTTTGAATGCTTTTGATTGAAAAAATAAAATTTATATGATCTTTTCTCTTAATATTGCGATTTTACATTACACTGCCTGTTTTTTACTCTATCGAGCAGTGTTAACCTTTGTCCTTTTACGCTTTTGCAGCGTCCAACGGACCGTGCGGCCCCACGTGCATGATGGGTGTCATTGGGGCTAGTTTGTTCGTGTTGATCGTGATTGTGGGGTCATTCATAACGTGGAGATATAGGTAACTGGCCAAAAAAATTAATTACACGAGATGACATAATTATTTGTTAATGCGATTTCGAAATTGTATACAGCATTGTAAAAAATATTTTAAGTAAGTCTTCTTCAGCACATAACTTTTGACAAGCTTTCTTTTACAAAAACAAAATATAAGTATGAATAAATTTATTATACATAATACTGATATATATATAGAGACAGATATATATATATATATTATATGTGTATATATGTCACATTATTTATTGGTAGGTTAAAGTTAAAATAGCATATAAAAGAATTAAGAGCTATTAAAGTTGCTTGGAGAAACTTGTAATACTATCACGATATAAGATTATAGTAGAACGTGACAATATCTTATTACAAGTCTTTTCGTCCGCACGGATCTTAAAAGGATTTGGTGAATTGCTTCTGGACCAGTGGTTTGTGCAGAGCTTATCAGCTTGAATCTTATGTTTACAAGGAATTAATGGCATTACTTGTAGTAACTGGGATTTATACGTGGTTTATTTAACCTCGGACAACTTTCTGAAGTTGTAAAACTTACATCAGATATAAAACGAAAATGTGAAAATTAATGCATATACATATATATTTATTAATATCAAAGTACAAAATGTCGAAGCGTCATTCCTAGAAGTAAAGCGCAGATAGCACAATGTGATAATCCATAAGATTTTGATTGTTATCTGCAAGATTAGTTTATTGCGTTTTAAAATCCGCAATCCGATATATCTTCCTTCACATTTTATATATATATTCTATATATAAAACTAGATTTTAAGTTTTACTTTGAAGTTTTATAACTTTTTGGCGCATATCAAAGAATTCATTGCAGGAATACAAATCGAGAGAATTTTTCACGAAAGGAAAGAATATATTTGTTTAACTTGTCCAGAAGTAAAGTTGAACTCGAAAGTTTCTCACAACGAGTGGAATTGCGAAAGTTTCAATGATATGCACGTTGCGATAGCACGTTTTTTTTTTACGTTCGCAGCTTTGCAATCGGTTACCTTTATTTTTATTCCTTTTATGAATTTTAAATATATTCTATTTGGTTATTTTATGTCAGAGTACGCGTTTTCATCATTTTTTTTTCTACAACAATTTTAAACTGAAAGAAAACCAAATCGAATATGTTTGAAAATTTGATATTCAACTTCCGCCAAGTAAATTTTTATCAAATTGGCGAGAGGTATTATGAACGCTAGCATATCTCTTGTATATGCAATTCAACCTCGCAAGTGTGCAAGCTATCTAAACTTTCGAATTTAGGTCAATGTCTAACAGAATTCCTCTCTCAGAGTAACTGGTGACCACAATGGAGTAACTTCCGCTAAGTTGCATTAATACATCTCGAAACGATCAAAACAAAAGGAGAAAAATTAAACGTACTTCATCTTATAGTAAAATACTTGTTGCAATTTCTTTTTAGTATTTTATTTTTTTTATAAAAAAAAACATATCAGTTTTACATTTTAATTCTATATAATCGTAATAATTACTATTGTATAAAAGGGTAAAGTAATTTACACTGCCATAATTGATAACGGCACAGTTAGCCCAGCTCCAATTATCCTATTTCACTCCACAAACCAAAATAGCTTCATGAGCCAACATAGCTCGTCTTCCGCATCGCGATGCTTTGCGTTCCAGAATGGCGGCGAAGGGCGCTCGACGGGAATGCAAACACAGGGTGGACGATGCGGCAAATGGTATTGGTATTTTGCCCTCCGACTACATCGATCGCGGCGATGGTCTCTTGATCGGCCTGGACACGTTCACGGCGGCGAATCGTCACCTATTGTTACCCAAAACATGCCCGGTAAGTAATCTTCTACTTCGTTCTGAATATTTACTGATATTATCCACTAGAAATGGAAGAACTTAGCATAAGAATGAGATAAACCTGATATTTATGGGCTTACTTTATACGTGCACTGAAAAATCTTCAATTGGTATAATTTTGTCGAAAGATTTTCGTATGTCATAAAATTTTTATTCCATATCATAAGAGTAAAGAGGTATATTTACGTTTGCGAAGAAAATATAAAATAAATATTTATTTGTGACGATAAAAGCACGACAATCGGTAAGATACATACTTTCATGTTTGTAACAATATCGAGGTCACTGAAATTATAACAGTTTGGTCCCCGATATATTATACTCTTGAATAGACGTTATCTAAGATATAGAGTCTGCAAAGTTGCAGAAACTTTCTTATTACTTTAACACCGGTGTTATCTAGCCGGCACACTTTCCAGCGAATGATGCGAGATGAAAAAGGCATTCTTTAATAGTTCTTGAATAATAATAAAATTATTCCGTAAGCCGCTTATGCTCAAATTATCGCGCCACGTTCTCTAAGCTAGTAAATTAATTTTACAATTCTGTTTGCAAGTAGACCTTCCGACATAACTCAACAAACATTTATATTAAAAAAGAAATTATAATTTAATATTGAAAATATTTATTTTTTAAATTAATAGATATTTAATATTTTATATTTCATGAATATAAAAGTGTTTCACTTTTCTACAAGTTTGCCTATGAAGCTGCATTTGTTGCGCTTGAAACAAAAGAAGAAAAGTACCAAAAGGGAAACGAAACGAACGGATCATATATCGTCAAACTTTTTCACATATGAATTCAAGAAGAATTCAAGAAGCTTCTCTTTTTCCTTTATTAACTTTTTTTCACGTGTATCATGAAATTTAATAAAACCAGTTTGCTCAATATCGGTGCGAATGGAGCGATCACAACTTCATCCCCACCAAAAAGTTTTGCGTGAGAGAAAATTTTATAACAGGAAAAATAAATTTCATACTTTTATTTATTTCTTTAATAACTTTCCTTCACGCGAAGGAAAAATCGTAAAAATTCCCTCGCCCGCTTTCCACAGCTGTGTCTACAACTGCGCAACACACGATCCGCAGACTTTTCCGTGCCGCGGTCGCCAGCCTGCACGTGATACGTTGTACGTGCGTGCTCGCGTGTTAGCGTGCATCCCCGTAATCCCGCAAGCGGCGTGCTAAAGCGCGTAAGCTCTTTCAGCTTTCCGCACGGAGTAGCGCGGAGACTTCAAGAGGGTTTCGGTTCTCAGAATCTAAGCGCGACTCGGAAACTCGGTCAACCTTCGGTAGTCTTCAAGTTCGCCCGGGATATTTATTTAGTAATGACGTTGCTTGCGCTCGATCGCCCGTCTCTTAGAAACGCGTTAAATCGCGGAAGACGCATTTCCACAAAGTAGATGTTGCGTATTCTCGGGGAGGAATTTCCCTTGGTCCAGGCTCTTAAAAGGACGTAACGCTCGAGCTGACTACTGATGAGGCAATAAGAAATCAGGATTGCCTCAATTTAAGGTTTAATCTAAAATTTTAAAGTCTTCTAAGAGTCTTGGATATCTTTGAGAGAACGTAGCACTTTGCAAATTTTGCAAATTATATTAGGGATCATGTGGAAGGAAGAAACTCATCAGCGTTTTATTATTTCTCAGAAGTATAATAGCCGACAGTTTCTCATCTTGTCGTTCTTCACATCGTTACTTTCCGATATCTCGGGCAATCGCGTGTTTCAATGCGCGCCTCTCGCGCCACGTGAATACCGCCCTCGGCACGTAGCGGCTCTGTAATTTACTTCGAACGCAATATGCAAAGGAATCTTATCTAACGTCTGCGTCTCACCCCCCTCCTCCCCCCCCCGATTGCGAAAACTTTTTAGCACCACTCGTATTTGCCTCGAGAGTTACACCGAAATTAAAGTTCGACTCGGCATCTCCCGCATCTCGGAACAATTCCTAACATTGTTTGACGTAATTAACATTGCTTGGGGTTATGAGGGTCACCAGAATTTTTCACAGAGGACTGTCAACATCTTCTTGAATTAAAATCTTCTTATTCCGTAAAAAAAAGTCTAGTTAATAATAAGAACTTTTCAACTGAATTCTTTCTTTCATCCCTTAAAGCGGAATGCAAATACATTTCGGTGCATCTCCTTCAAATACCACAAAAGCTCGGAATATGCAAATGAAAAATGCGGAACAAACATATCTCGTAAAATAATAAAATTTAATAAAATATAAAATATAAAATTTAATATAATGTACATGTTACACGCATAATTCAGTTCAGTATTTTCTTGTAATCAATTCTTATATTGAAAATTTTAATTAAGGAAATAATACTTATTACAAAAATTTTTTTCTGTTTTTCTTTGAATAAAATACGATAAACAAAAAGGTATGCAAGTGCATTCCGTTGCTTGGAGCGTCCACAATCGAATGAAAGAACACGATAAAAATATCAATGAAAAAAAGACAAGTAAAGCCGCGAGAAAAGAATTCACGATATTTCTATTCTTTGCGAGGCGTGTTCCTGAAGCGACACTAGCGAGATAAAGTCACTTTTATTCAATAAAGTCGAAACGAAGTCGGATCGACTTTAACATGACGTGTGCGGCTCAGTGAACAGTGGGTTTACCGGGTAAACCTTTTCGTGACGTACACGCGAATTCATCGAGAGCACTTTTACGTCATATAAATCATATATTTCGTTATCAAACTTTAGACTAGAGATGATTTTATAACTAGACTCTGATCGGAGAGCAAATTAATCTGCTTCAATTAACAATTTAATTCTCCCGCTTAAAATAGACTCTACACAACTTTGTCTGCTAAATTGCTTATTCGCAATAAAGCCTAATCATATTAGCTTCTTGTTTACGACAAACATGATATACTTAATAATCTCATTTTAAAATTGCTAAATTGAAAAGGCCGCAACTAAAATCATGTTATTTTACAGCAATACGCTCTTCGAGAGTTTTCATCACTTTCATATAAAAAATAGATGCGAATCCTTCGAAGAAAATTCTTCGGAGATGACAACAGTAACGCGGTGATATTGTTGTGAATATCTCGGAATTGGCACGTTACAAAATTTATACATCGATAGTGCATCGGATTGCATCCCTTTCCGAAAAAGTTCTGTCATACTGCTGAGAGAAGAGTCTCCTAAGATCAATTCTTTACAAAACAAAGTGGAATGTAAAGAAAATAATAAAATATCCATTTCGCCGTATTTCTTAAGCACGATCTTTTTCAACGATTTATGTCGCGTTTATTGATTAAAATTAATCTCTATAATCATTGGACATGAATTATTTGGCAATCTTGTAACAAAATTCTCCGTGGATAATACTAATTCAAAGTGACTGCTAATTTGTGGAGGTATTTCTCATTAGTTACGTGATCCTATTATCATTCTTGAACCGTCGTTTAATTGGGTATCCGCTCGCGTCCTTTACTAAGCAACTCGTGCGAAGTAATGCCGAACAGATATCGTCTGACACGAACGTGGAAACACGTACCGTCGAGGCGTAACGCCGGATTAGAGAGAGTAAAGCTCTTATCGTAACAAGCTCGAAAGGATTTATTAATCGGTACTCGCATACGCCGTCTTCGTGTTCGGGATTTCTCGAATTGTTCTACACGCATTCCAAAGAAAACAAATTCTGAAAATTGGAATTTAAAACAAAACTAAGCAAAGATAATAATAATCTAGCATTACGTGTGTAATTTAAATGTAAATAGGTCGAGCTTACTAAGCATAAATGTCTAAAGATAATATCGAAATATTAGCTCAATGATTAAAAATTACTCTACGACTTCCAGAAAAGAAATTAAAGTTGTTGTTAGTCGAGTTTGCGGTAAATTATAAAATTGATTACGAGCGTGTTTAATTTGTGAATTTTCATGTGGAATTTCAGCCGGATCCAAAGTGGGAATTTCCACGATCGCTCCTGAAGATCGAGCAGGTGCTGGGCGAGGGCGAGTTCGGGCGCGTTTTGCGCGCCAAGGCTATGAACATCGGCGGAATTCCCGGTCCCACGACCGTCGCGGTGAAGACCCTGAAGGAGGACGCGTGTGCCTCCGAACTGACGGATCTGCTGTCCGAATATCAGCTGCTGAAGGAGGCACAGCATCCGAACGTGATTCGGCTGCTGGGCGCTTGCACGACACCGCCGGGCGCGCCTGTCTATCTCATCATCGAATTCGCCGAATTCGGCTCCTTACGGTAAGTGCGCGCCGTGATATATATTCGACCGTCGCTGTCCTGATCGCTATTTATGACCTTTCCGTTTCACGAACTTCTGGCCTTATTGATAAAAGTCCTGCTAAGTACGTCAGCTGGAAGCGAATCGATGCGATTCATGCGTCATGCCTGTCGAAAGTGGCTTTAACTTACGTGTAGATAGCTTTATCTTTTGTCATGTGATAAAAAACACGCAATCTTCCAACAAGGTTAAATTAGAGATTCTTGTATATTTTATCATTTCTTATATTTACAGATTTTCTATTTTTAAAATATTTAATAGATATATGACTATATATAATTTATAACAAGTACATAACTATAAGTGTACATGATAAATAATACTTTGAAGAATCTCTGGTAACGGACTTAGATAAAGGTATTATTTCGGAAAGTTAAAGGGAAAATTTTCTCTTTTGTTAAGTGTAAAAAAAAAGAATAAATAGCGCGTGAATATAATACTTGGTATTCGTAGTTCGGTATTTTCATTATCCCGTTATAGTCGAGAGAGATAACATCACAAGTCGAGCAGTTTTATCTTCTATTTATGCCAACAATGCTTCCATATACATGTCTAAATGAATGACATTGCACAACGCGACCGACTTGCAAACGCGGAAATAACTCCAGGAATTTACCGCGATGCGGAATTCCGCCGCGTGGAATTCCCGCCACCGCCGCGCGCCGGCGGCGGTACAACAACCTTTGCGAAACCAGTTGCTCCCGGTAATTAAATTTTTCCGCGGATACGATGCACATGCCGGGCGATCCATCGCCATCCATGTTTCTCAGGAACGGACGGATTATTGACCACCAATTTCTCGGTTAACCCTCGCGGTTTATAGGATAAATTTACACGAAATTTCAGTAACTATCTGAGGCGCAGCCGGCACTTGGAATCGGAGAGCAGAACACCCGCACCGACGTCTCTGCTTTCCACTTCGCCGATCAACGTCAGCGAGGAGTCGCAGTGCAGCGATAATGCATTGAACTATACCATAACACCGCGCGATATTCTCTCGTTCGCCTGGCAAATAAGCAAAGGGATGGCGTATCTCGCTGATATCAAGGTACGATAATGCCGTTTCGAAGTATCCGTCAAATTAGCTAGAATTTTGTTTCCAAATTATTAGACTCACTATTTACAAAATATCTAATTTAGTGTTTAAAATATTTTAATAGAGTAAATTGAAAATCGGTAACCGAATCCTGGGAGTATTCAAATTGACTTTCCTCGAAACTTAGTTAATGAAATTTAAGAGCGTGCGATTGCAATTCTCCCTGCAATTCTCCGGAAGATAACGCGAAAGTCGTGAAGTGTCTCGCAACTCGATTCGGTCAAGTCATTAGCAATTAATCAAAGTTTCCTCCGCACTGCAGTTGGTGCATCGAGATCTCGCGGCGAGGAATGTTTTGCTCGCGACCGGCAAGGTCTGCAAGATCTCGGACTTTGGTCTAACTCGTGATGTATACGAGGACGATGCGTATTTGAAGCGAAGCAAGGGACGAGGTAAGATAGACCACTAATTAATAATCTGCACTCCAATTCGAAACTTACAGACTTCTCGTTACATCTTCCCATCGTTGAAGTGTAACATAGCAAATTATAGCATCATATTTTAAATCAAACTATTTAGATCAACATAAATAATGCAATCAACGACCGAAAACGAGCGGTGTTAAATACTTTATTCTTCAATTTTCTAACATAAACCGTAGCGATTACGTGAAACGATCAATAAGTAATAATAATCAACGGCCAAATACGAGCAATTCAGTGGTGTTAAATACTTTATTCTTCAATTTTCTAACATAAACCGTAACGATTACGTGAAACGATCAATAAGTAATAATAATCAACGGCCAAATACGAGCAATTCAGTGGTGTTAAATACCTTATTCTTTAATTTTCTAACATAAACCGTAACAATTACGTAAAACGATCATTACGGTTTATGTTAGAAAATTGAAGAATAAAATATTTAACACCACTGATATGCTCGTCTTTGGCTGTTGATTATTATTACTTATTGTATTACAATAACGAGCGGGTTATAATTAATATAAATAATACAATTTACAGATATACGCAAAAATATCAAATAAATCTAACGAATTGTAATCTTATTTAATGACAAGGATAAATATAAGTTAATCGGAACAAAAAGTGTCGTAATTCAGCATTGAGAAGTGCAACATTGCGAGCCGCGAACAATATTTTAGCAAGTTTAATACTAACGATCCTAATTCAACCACGACGTGGTAAGCCGGTCGTAACTCTTTCGAGCGGGATTCACGCGAAAAAACACCTTTAATGACTCGCACGAGCCCGACTAGCTGTTACTTCGCGTTATCCAAGGTTTTACGGTTCGTGCCCGTAGTGCCCGTAAAATGGATGGCGCCGGAATCCCTGGCCGACCATGTGTATACCAGCAAATCGGACGTTTGGAGCTTCGGCGTGCTCCTGTGGGAGTTGATCACGTTAGGAGCCTCCCCGTATCCTGGAGTGGACGTGCATAATCTCTACAATCTACTCAAGGCCGGCTACCGTATGGAGAGGCCGTGTAATTGCTCGCAACAATTGTAAGTGCTTAACACAATCGCTTTATCCTCTTGAGTGATTGCAGCATCTGACATTCATTAATCTTAAGAATCATCAATCTTAAACTCACTTTAAGAGAAATCCAGTTTCATTTATTAAATGAAATACGCCTCTTATGATTATATCTTGCATGAAAATTGTTTCTGCTACTCGTCTTCATACATACCGTCATACAACATAACTCAATTCTCTTCATTATTGTTGTTGTATATAAAAATTATTCTTTATATTATTACCTTCTTCCTGCATTCTTATTCCTCATAATTATCTTTTTAGAAAATTATAATTTACGTTTCTTTAGAACTAAGCTTTTCCCGAGTTCTAATTGAAAGTTAACTCAGCTGACTAACCAACGCTGATAAAATCAAAGGGCCTAGGACTGCGTGTAACCGTTACTTATGCGATATTCATAATTACGGAGAGACTCGTGCGTAATTATCACAGGGAGTTCATGATTACAGTAGCGTGACTTCGTATCACATGTGAAACATTCATCTTCTGTGAAGATTAGATCGCTGTACTGCGAAGTCAACCTCAGTACACACACGCTGCGTATATATATTACTAAATTAATGACGTAGTAGTAAAACCTGTGATGTAATGGAAAGTAATAAACAGAAAAGGATCGAACCTTCGAACGTGACGTGAACGCACTCTTTTCAATTAAACTATTGCCAAACCTATACCCTTGAAAAAGCGCTGGAGCAGTGCCAGTAGTTAAAATAAAGTAGGTTAACTATTTCAGCTCGTCGTAAAGCTCGTCGTCGTAAAAGTATACATCCTCTCTCGCGCGCGAGCGTGCAAGCGGAAGAAGAATGTCATTTCCTAGCTTTTATAACTTCTGTGGAAACATCTTCGATTCGATTGTAATGAATGATATTTTTTCAGATATAAGTTGATGGTGTCCTGTTGGCATCAAGAGCCCAGCATGCGACCGTCGTTCAAGGAGCTAACCAGCTACTGGGAACGCATGCTCGAGGATGGTGTCGAGTATCTCGATCTTAATCCACGAACCGTCCATAATCAAGCCTACTTTGTGTCTCTGCAGGCTCTGGACAGCGCGAGTGGTAAGTAAAATAAATCGATTTAAAATACCGCCGTCTATAAATGATTGCTGTCACCATTAATATTTTTAATTATTTTTAATATCACTAATTTACAGGAAAGAAATTTCTGGAGATTTGAACGGTTTCAAATTATTTTCAAATGTCACTTCTTTGGACTCCATTCGATAATCATCGATCGTTTAACGATTTTAAATAATACGATATGCAATAATTTCGAGTTATTTTTAAAGTTCTCGTTAAAAAAATCTTTTGCAGGTTCCGATAACGATCAGGTGGACAACGGGAAAGTCAACGGGACTTTGAGGACAGACCTCAACTACCTCGGCCGAATATCCTCCGAGCCCGTCACCAAGTGCGACAAGGTGGACAAGCTGCAGGCGTTCTGGCAGCCGTCCATAGCGTCCTTCCCCGAGGAACCCATGATGAAGTCGCCTTACATAAACGAACGGCCCGCGAGCTTGAACGCCAATCATTACGAAAGCCCGATAAAGCTGAGGAACACCAGCGTGACCAGCAACAGCGAGAACGATCTGAGAACACCCCCCAACGAACGTCCCCAGTCTTACATCGACATGCAGGGGAAGAAGTCAGAGATGGAGACGGAGGACCTCTTGGTGTTTGGGAGCATGGACGATAAGACTGACAATAACGTGACGAATTGATCATAATCTCACGTTTAACATTTGACAAATGAGAAAAAAATCCAAAATGAGAAAACACGTCAGTTTTCTGAATCTCGACGAGTTTTCGTTGTCTTGGGGCGGATGAAAGAAAGTAAAGGTAACCGATTGAGGGAACAATTGTCGATCGCAAATTATGCGAGAAAGAGAAGAATATTTATTTAAGGGGAGGAAGTGTGAGAGAAAGAGAGAAAATCTGTGTGATAGAGCAATTGAAAGCGAATGATACGCATGGGGATGAGAAGCGCCATTTTTTTATGGCAATTTACAGATGACATGTTAATGTGCTGGACGAATGAAAATTTGCATTTGTAAAAACAAATATTAACTCCGTGGAGTTGAACAAGTCGCGATTTCAATTATATCGCGGGAAGAATTTCTGAAAGAATTCTTGATCGAATAAAACGCTCTCGTAGGAAGTTAGGAGTAATAAACTATATTGCGCAAAATGATTGCTATTACCAAATATAAATTAATAATTAATTTGCCGTTTTTATGTACTTAAAGTCGTATACGGTTGTCCGTTATTGGTAAAGCCGCTTTTAATACTATTAATAATAATAGTTACGCATTATAATCATTCGTGCGATTTCTTTAAAAAAAGGATCATTGTATTTTCAGCATTTAAAAATTTTCTGTGCGTCACACCACCGCAATCGTGATGAAGTTTGAGAATAGTTGCTCATTGAGAACATCCAAGCTTCTCAAACTAAGGGCCATAAGTTGTTTCCTAGCTAGCGTTAGCGGTTTCTGTTACAAGTACAAGCTTGAAATGGTGCAAATAAGTGAGAAACGTTTTCACAGTTAATTTTAAAAATTTCACCCGAGGCGTATTTTTACGAGCGATATTAACCGTTCGTTAACTTGAGAAGTTGCAGATTTGGTCTTCCATCAAATCTTTCTTGATAGATAAATCCGTGGTTGTGAAGTTGTACGGCACCTTAATTCAATTTCAAACTTAATCGTCACGCTTCCTTTCGAGACGAGATATACTTTCTATTGTCGCACTGTAATAGCTTTTGTGGCTTTTGCGTGTCCGACACAACGAAGCAGCAAATCGCACGCAGATCGAGGTGACACGACCGAGGCGTAAGAGTAGTATTTTTTACCGAGACGCGTATGCGCGTGTGGGCTCCGGTTGGCGCGACGTCATATCCGAAGAAGACTGTGTTTCGCCGTACCTCACTGGGAACGCAATTGTCCCTTTTGTATTTACGTATATAAGATGCAACATTCCACCCACGATTAGCCTAGTTATTTGTCGTGCGGGTTCTATAAACACGACTGCGTATGATTTCGACTAGTATACCACGTTCGATGTTTTCCTGTTTCCTTTTTAAATAAACTCTTTCCGGGGCATTAACGACAACGACTTGGAGCACGCGCGTTACGAGCCGATTAATATTGTGCCATATTATTTTCTTGTAACTAATATATCACAAAAACATATAAAAGACGTATCCAAATGGAGTTATTTCCTCTTACTAATTTTACCTGATTCACTTGTCCTCCTGTCGCAATGGTCATTTTCTCAAAGTAAAAAAAATGTTGGAGAAAAATAATTTAAAAATTGAGAAGAAAAAAGAGGCATAAGGATGAAAAAAAATTCTATATTATTATAGTCAGGTATTGTGAAAATTTTTTAACGTTTTTGTTTTATATTTAAAAAAATAAAAATCATGATAATTATATATAACAAGAGAATTTTTTTATCTAATTGCAATGTAATGTTATATATATTTATATACGAGTTTTAGGATGCAGAAGCGGCGGATAAACCGAAGAAATTTATAGAAAATTCTTTTATTCTAATTAAGTATAATCGCATACAAAATCCATTGATAAGAAAATGATAAGAAAATAATCTACGGATCATTCATATACACATATAAAAAAAAATCACAAGTTTAACTTATCTATGCGAAATTCACAATCGTTTCTCGTGGAATTAGCGACGAAGGTCTTCTCTTCGTCAATCTCACCAAGTAGATTCAGCTCGTCGATACGTGTCGTGAAAGACTGAGGTATGACATCGCTGTCCGGCGTGCCGGGCCTACGGATCTCGATTGGTCGTTCGGCATCACATTTTGCAGTCTCTCGTACGACGATCGGTGGTAACAAATCGTCTAAAGAAAATTTAGTATGCCTAAGATAAAATTACTGATACAATAGTAATAAAATACTGGTTTCATCGAGTACAAGAAAAAAAAAAATAAAACGTGCACAACAATCAGTCACGTCTGATATAGGAATTGTGCGCGGAAGAGAATGAAGCGATAGCAAGGTGTTGCTACGGCAACAAAATCGAGTATCGACCGCGATAACGCCACTCACCGGTCTCCTCGGTGTTCTTCATCGCGCTGGCGGCCTCGTCCTCGGATATCTTCGCCGTAGCGAATCTGATGCTCTCCAGCAGCTCCTCGCTCGACGACCCGTAGAATCCCAGGCATACGATACCGTGAATCCTCTTTACGAGCCTCGTCAGATCCTCGGGTATGCGAAACTTCTTGAAGAGCCGCGCCTCCTCCGGTATGTGATCCGGCTTGCAGTACGGCAGGTGTATCGCGTAGTACCTCTTGTTTCTCCGCGGATAATTCTCCTTCAGCAGTCGCAACAGGTGGTTGTCTACGTTTCGATAAACGATCGTCGCGTCAGACTTCGCGAACGTCGGCGGCGGGGACGTTGCTACCAGCACAACATCCGCGGCTTGAAATGCGGTATTGCACCAGAGTCCTGGATCCTGCGATCACGTTACACGATTATCTCTGAATTCCCGTTGAACGTCGCGTCCGTAGAAATTATTAAATAAAATTATTAAATCAATTTTATTACCAGTTAAATCAGTTATTAAATCACGTATTATTAAAGCGCCGAGATACGACCGTTTCCTGATAAATCAATTAAGCTCGTGCTAATCGAATTGTGCGTATCTTTATCCCTTCGACGGGCAGTCGCCGTAATATTATATCATCGATTTGATTACTCACTTTACTGGCGGTTTCCGCAATGTCAAACACGTCGATCATGGCATTGATATGACAGTATCGCAGATATTTTGTAAACTCTGCCATTACGTTCACGTGCGACGGATGCGTCGGCGAGTACACCACCAAGCAGTTCGGCTTCATCGCCATTCTCTTTAAGACTATATTTATAAAAAAAAAAAGGAAAAAAAATTATTTATCGAAGCAAACGAGTCGGATATATTCACGAAGGAAAAAAAATTTATAAAATTCTCACCCCTCTTTCTATAGAGCTTAAACACGTGGTACAGCGCGTACAGTAGTACAGGTGGTATCCATATTAAGCTGATTATCATAATTAACAGTTGATGAGACGCGTGTTCTGTGAGAAATTATAAGGAAATGAGAAAAAAAAGAAGGGGACAAAAGGGACAAGAAAATTTCGAATGTTAAATCGCAATTTACTCATGTCTATGTAGGGCGACGTGCTGTTCGCGCATCCGTGCTCGCCGCAGTCGGGATGCAAGGCCGCGACATTGACGTAGTAGACGCCGTCCGGCGCCGAGAAGTTGTGCCGCGCGTGCCCGCGGTCTCGGTTCGCGGGGATGATCGCGGTAGCGATCGTTGACTTCGTGTCGTTGTGAATCAGCCACGCCTTGTACTCCGTCACGTTGTACGTCGGCGGGAGCGGTTGTATGTACAACACCGCGTTCGACGGATCCGACACATCGATGTACACGAAGGGCGTGAACGTCTGGACCTGGGCGCTATCCTCTGCAGGAAGAAATTGGCGGACAATCGTTATACGAGGAACGCGAAGTCGCGGGACGAAGGGAGAATAAACGAGAGTCTCACCGATAAGTTCGTGCTGCGGCACGTGGAACACGTATTTTCTGCTGTACACGAAATTCTTCCCGATCGCGAGATACTCCAAACAGTACGGATAGCCCTCGTACGAAGCGTCGGAGAACGGGCACGACACGTAAAAGTCTTTGGGCGTAGGATGGCTGGCGTTCCCGTGTAACAACTCTACGTGCCTGCACGCGTTCTCGTCGTTCTTGATGATATTCTGATAACGCGTGATTAACCCTGATTTGACACAAACAAATCTTTAATGTATACGGTAAAACGAGAGATATTGAAGATATACTTGTTTTGAGCGCGTGTTAAATATCACGAGCGCTTGATGTCTAGAGAGCAGTCCCTTACTATGAAAATTGACATCCGAAATCGATAAGTTGAACGCAGTCACCCTCTGGGAATCATCCGATTCTTTCAAGTCATTTTTCACATACGCGTGTAATGTGAAAATTGCGGTGCCATCTCGCTTGTATAATTTTCCGGTATCCTCAAATTTTAGCTTTGCGCAACCTGAAAAGTCGTGAGGTATTTAATGAATCTGAGAGATATTTTCCCAAATTATATTGTCTTCCTACCTTCCCCTCTTTGTACTGGCGTTAATATACATTGGAAACCCGGTGTTGGTATCAGGTGAGTCTAAAAAAAAATAATAATAAATAAATTTATTGTGTGGGTAAGAAGGCTTGTAATTGGCTTGTTTGCATGTGATAATTAGTCGACTCAAGGCGAAGAAAAAGATTGTACCAATCGAATGACACAGAGCTAAATATAAACTTTTATTCAGCTTTTATCATCAATCACTTACATAATGCAAAAAAAGTAGTATTTTATTATTTATCAATTCTTGTTATCTACATATCTGCCCACAATCATACGTAAAACGATAATTGAAGTTAACGTTGATCGTATCCATATAACCTTTTTTACGGGAGTTACAGGGTGTTCCACTGGGCTCGTGCCCATTATTTTTTAATCGCAGAATCTAATTAATTTGAAATTTTTGGCTGATAGCAACTTTTAAATTTTTAGCATTATATTTTTTCGTGATTAAACTTCAAAAATTAGAATTTTATTAACAACTCTACCTAAAAATTAGCTGATAAATTTTTAATTTTGCAATTAATTTGACTCCCTAAAATTTAGTTTGCAGCAGGCAAACAATTCAGTTAGTTTCTTTTTCATTTTCTTATAACTCGAAAATTATCGATATGATCGATATTTTCTTATAAAAAAAATCATATCTAATTTTCAAAAATTATTGTTAAAAAATAATATGAAAGAAAAGGAACACCCTGTATATACAATACAACCTGTTGTTATTATACACATTATATACGTTACTTCAAAGATAACTATAATGACAATATCTGAAGCTATACATTAGAGAAAATAATTCTAGTTATAAAATGATAAGAAAAGTGTCTTTGAGAGAGAAAGAGAGAAATTAATAATAAAGTTTATAATGATTAATAAATTAATCTGCAAATCAACGTGCGAAAAAAGCACATGATCCTCGGGACACCCTGTACACACGATGTCGATGTGAGAGACACTTCGAAATAACTCGGAGCTTCGTCTGTTTACTTGGAGTAAACAGATGATCGGAACGAAGTGACACTTACCAAATTCTGACAGTAGTCTGGATAACAATGCGAGGCCGAGACGCGTGTTCCAATCAAGGAACACAGGACGACCGCGGCGAGAAAGCCGCTGCGAATTGTCTCTCGCATTCTTCTTGGGTTATTGTCCGCTCACTCGGTGCGCAACATTCGTTGGACGGCACGTGTCACCGACCTCGACATGTCAACCTCGCGCGGCGCGAATCACGACGGTAATTCGAACGTTCTCATCGCGCGGCGGCAATTAACATCCCACAGTTCCAAATCGCACGCGCTCCACGCCTCCGCAGTCGAACGACGCAAAATACTGCACGCGACCGCGTCAACGATCACTTCCGTCGGACGCGAGCCGTTGCGAACTGCGCGTCGACGCCAGGAAGGCTCTACTGGGAATGTCAGGCACTGCTTGCATTGCTTCTCGTCGACAAGAACGGTCTCTACAAGGATCGATGACTCGAGTCATTCGATTGAATCATGCGGCAGTTGCTGCGTCAAACGGTTGACTCAAAAGCCGACCGACGAAATGACACTTCTTGAAATTATGTATTTTTAGCACGCAAATATAGCGCAAACAAAAACCTAATTGTGGAGAGGAAGATAATTTTCCTGATATTTTGATAAGATAAAGAATAACAAAAGTGTGTTAAAACGATATCGATTTTTCAACTGCGGAAATTAAACGTGAGATATAATTGGAGTAAGACAAAAGAAAAGGAGAGAAAAGGAAAGTTATTATTTTTTATTTTATATACAATTTTATTATAGAAATACGGAATTCGTTTAAAACAATAAAATTGTCGCACGCGTTGAAATACAATGGAAAATATGATTCTTATTTATCTTCATCGGTGAAATGATTTCATAAACGTTTATACGGACGTCAGATCTCACAATCAGATAGAACGACATTTGTAATCTTATTGCTCACTATCTCGCTGTGAACACGTATTGTTCTTGTAATCATAAATGCAATGTACTGCAGCAATTCAAGTAGTATATCAGTTTTTTAATATAAATTTGATGAGTCATTCATGACAAAGTTTTATATTCTATTATTTTGGTTTTATTTTCGTATTAAATATTTCGTCGATTTAACACACACAAGGATACCGCTTTTATGATAACAGTCGCGCAGATATTTATACTCAAAGTTATGTAATAATGATTTTCATGACATTCTCAAACAGCTAACTCTTCTCATTGTCATTATAGAAGTTAATTATTTGATTATTGAATAAAATATCCTATATTTTGAATTTACTAATTTAATACAATTCATTAATTGAAAGAAATATTAGAGCTCTCAAAAGCTAAACTGATCAACTCCACTTTTATAATTTTCTTAATTTTACCAGGGCACACAGATTTTATAATTTCATAAATTTTTAGTTTTCATTTCATAGAGTTGATCATTTGACTTCTAATATCCATTTTTATCAATGTAGATTAATTTTAATTTCGATTTAATTTACTCTTTATCTTTTTCTAAACTAAAATAACCAAGATAAAGAGTAAATTAAGCCGAAATTAAAATTAATCTATAGAAATGGACATAAGAGGGGGCGGGAAGGAGAGCTCATTCGATAGTTGGCATGTTTAAAAGCATAATTAAAAATTTAACTATCGCTAATGCTATAACGTATTATAATTATTAAATTTTCGTAGTATCTACTCATCGTACAAAATAAGTAGTTTCAGTATCTTTAAATGTCAGTAATAAGCATATAATTTAATAGACTTTCGTCAATTGCATATCGTGGTAAGAGGTAAACGTGATTAAAAGTTCCTTGCACCTAGTAACATTCCTCGTATACGAACGCAATGTTGGCGAATTTATAATTAGTCCCAGCTACACGCACCAGATAACTTTGCAGTTTTGCACGATATCTTCATGAATACACCATGACAGAAACAATCGGAGAAGAAAAAGATCGCAACGTGTACTCCCAAGACAACAAAAATATTAATACTTGTTGTACACCAGTAATAATAACAATTTATAAGAAATATCTGAAAGACTTTTGAAAGATTTTTGACAACACATAGTCGTAAGAAAAACATCAAAGAAAAGGCTCTGACGTCTATTTTTGCTTTTTGTCAAAATAAATCATTAAGATAATTTTTTCTTTTCTCGATGATGACATAGAGGATAGAGCTGCTAAAATAAACTCGTCATCCAAAAATAATGGTCTTAGCGATTTTTCCGCTGCAAGATAGAGAGAGAGAGAGAGAGAGAGAGAGAGAGAGAGAGAGAGAGAGAGGGAGAAAGAGGTGCCAAAGATTTATCTTAAGAGCTGACTACAGACTGCCTTTCTTTCTCGTCATAAACGCGTTAAGATAGAGGCATCTGATTGATTGTTGTTGATTAAGCAACTTTGGCCTCCTTATCAGTGAGATTAAAATGCTTCTGTAGATCCTGCCAGCACTTGTAATACTTATCGTCCAGCTTAGTACAAATCTTATTAGCCCATTCTGTCACAGCCATACTATACGAGGTCTCAAACATAAATGCCTGCGTATCGTCAGCGATCCGTTCTGGCAGCAGCTCGCTCTTGGACGCAGCCTCAAAGCATTGTTTATCAGGACCGTGCGGAGTCATGACAGAATGTAGCGATGCACCACCGGCGGAAAAACCATCCTCCTTTGCCTCGTAACGACCCTTTATTAATCCCATAAATTCGCTCATGCAATTTCCTAAGAATCCAACAGTAGAATGTCAGGCTTGTTCAGAAATATATATAAATTGTACAGATATAAATTTATATATGTGTATAAAGGAGAAGAAAAAAGAGAATGAGATATGAATAATTGTAAAAGAAATTAGATAAGAAAAAAAATTAACAAAAATATAATACACGATACCTGCTATTAATTAGAAAAAGTGTGCTTTTTATTTTATTTCGAATTTTATTCAATGAGAAACTGATTTATACCGTCACTTTTTCTATTATTTATTGAGTCATTATCTGCATCAATAGTGCAAATTAATTCTGGGAAATATTTGCGTCTTGTTAAAAAATACAAGGAAAAATTACTAATGTGTCGATAGTTGTTTATATGAGTTCCAAGTCGCCGATAAAATTCTTTATAAATAATAGCTACGATTTGACTTTATAAATGTCAGATATTCGACAGAACTTCTCGCAAAACGAGTACCATCCGGTTTTGGCAGATGACTCGTTTAGTATCATCAGAACAACTTGTCAATGTTAATTTTCACCGTTGTCGGATATCATCGACAAGTCGCTCGACATGCGAAACGGGCACGTATGCGTCACGAGCAATTCGCGATCGCGCAACGAGACGCAGCGGCCGGAATCTGCAATGGAAATTACGCGTATTTTGCATATTATCGCTCTCCACGCGCCGCCGGCTTATTCATTAACGTGGAGAATGGTCCGCATTGAATACGCCGCTATACTGGTTATCAAATCTCGGAGAAAGCAGCGAACGGCTAACTCTTACTATAGTGTTCAAACGTGTATTCCGAGATACATGTTGCCTCGTACGTTGTTGCGCAGTGCAACATTAGCAAAACAAAATTGAATATCAATGCATTGTATATAAAGAAGACTCAGTTTTAATTAAGTTATTAGTTATTAAATAAATTAATTATTAATTAAATTGCAGTATTCAGAAAATAATAAAAATAAAATGGAATTAAATATGAAGCGAAAGAAACTGAATTAAATAATTAAATAAAAAGTATACATAATTAATAGAAAATCTATAAATAATTAAAAATCTTTACTCATATAATTAAAATTATCATTAAAGACAAATTATTTTTAGCTAAGAATTGTCATTGATTTTTATTTCATGAAATATTTGTACTGGCAGTAAAATATCTCGGGATTTTTTATCATCTTTTCGTAGTTTACTTTTTATCGATTTCACAATAATTACCGATTAGGTATGCATATTTCCTTTTATATATAAGCAGCATATACATATAAACACTTTTGATATTCATCAATGAGACAAAAATGGTAATTACTTTCTCCGCTTATTTATCATAGTTATTAAACCATCGTCAGTCTTAATATAAGATCTCCGATAATCAGTATTAATTTTACGATCGGAAAATACTATCACGCGTTTAAGTCCGTTATCTCGCGGTTACCCCGATCCATCCTATAATTTTGCGCGTAACTCCTGTAGAACGGAATGGACACTGAAGACACCGATAATGGCCGCTTCACATGGCTTTCAATTACTTAACTCGTAAGGATGCATCCCCGCTGATAGCCATCGTGCCCACGCGTCTTTCTCTTTACACGCGATGGGACTTTCTCAATAAGAGAGCGCGATAATGCAGCGAAGTACTGCAATGGCGATGAGGACAACCGCGACGTTCGAACGAAAGTGGCCCGTCCCGTCTCGTCATAATCAATCGGATCGTGATCGCAGTGACAGGATATCGGTGAAACGACCTAACGGAGAAAGAGAAACATTGTGCGATCGGTCGTCGGGAAAAATTTCGAGTTTTCTCCGAGCCAACTCGGTTGCACAATTTTCAGGAGCGCTCTTCTGGAACGAAGACGCCGCTGCCGCCGAGTCGGGTTCGACGTCGAGCACTCGCGCTCGAACTCTTGCCGCGCGTAATCGACCCCATGAGACCGGAGACAAGAGGAAAAAAAGCCGCAGAATCCGCAATTTCTCGGCGACCGTACCTAGTGAACGCGTCACGGATCGGCAGTTTGATCAAAATAACTACCGAGTGGTTATACGAAGCAAATCAAAGATCGAAAGGACGTCTGAAAGAGGTTTAAAAGATATCTCAAGTATCCCTTCAATCACAAGACGTCCTTTAACTACAATTTAATAAGTAATCCTTAACTGAATTCCTACATTTTTAATATATTTTTATATATCGATAAAATGATATTTATCAAGTTTGCTTTTTTGGAATTGTAAATTTAAATAAACTATAATGAAAATTGTGGAGCATTTATAGTTATATCAATAATGTTTCACAATAATCTTGTTAAACATAATTGTTAAACATACACTTTGATTTCCCTTACACGTTAAATCGTGTTAAGAAAAGTTTATACCGATCAGTTTCATCTTTGCCTCGGCGCGTATACGAACGCAGAAGATATATACTTTCTAAGAATATACTTACGGTGATAATAAGGGGGCCGGAAAGTGTGTTCTTGCACGGACCATCGGGGTGGAAAGATCACGAAATCGGCTGCGGCGGTTCCAGGCTTGTTAGTAGGGCACGTTAGCACAGTGAAGATGGAAGGATCCTGCGGAATTAATTGAGCTACTTAACATTCCGAGATCATAATCGAATTCGAAAAATCCGATGAATATGCAGAAGAATTGGGAAAAAAAACTTTATTTAGCATAAACATTTATTACGATAAAATCTAAAATATATACTGAAAAGGATTAAGGAAGAAATGCAACTCATTGTTAAAGATAATATTCAATCGTCTGCGATTTCTGTTCTCTCGCATATAAAATAATTTTTATTTTATGTGTGAAATTTATGCAATTTGTAGAAATTTCTTTTTAAATTCATCTCAATCTCAATGCGCCGTTAGGAAATCTGCGTATGACGATGTTTACTCACGCAGTGATCGAAGGAGACGGAATTGATGACCATGAATCTATTGAGATCGTATTTGTAAGGTACGTAATTGCCATGCCACGCGACCACGTCAAAGGGGCTACGGCCTTGATTGGCCACGAATAGCTTCCCCTGATATTTACATACGATCTCGTAATCGATCTCGCGATCCTCGTACCAAGCCACTGGCGTCTGAAAATCTCTCGGATTCGCCAGGCCATTCGCTCCTATACATTAGCCCAGTTCATTAATACGCTCATTAAAGAAACATTAATTTATTGAATCTTCCCAATGGAAGAAATTTAGTTGTTCAGCAACAGCATAGTCACAAATTATGTTATTTTTCGATAAGCTTTGTCTCGAAGATGAAATGTTTTCCGCATGGAAAGAACAATTTTGCTGAATCCAGATCTGAAAATAATTTTTTTCAATAATCAAAATAATTTTGTGCGAAAGTCAAAATGATTGCTAGAATATCAAAACATGTTTTATAGCAATACTTATCAGTTTTAACATTCCAACAAATTATTTTGATGATTCAACAAAAAATTATTTTCAGATCTGTTTTCAGCAAAATTTTTAGACCTTTCAACAAAATCGTTCTTTCCGTGCGCGAATTCGAATTAATTTTCTCAAGTTTCAACAGAAGACGTGCTAGACAACTTTAATTAATTCCTCGAATCGACGATCGATTTACCTATCGGACCCAATTCTGGCAGCTGGAAGTGATTGTCGAAGACCTCGAGAATGTAACCCCTGGACGGACCGAAGACGGTCACGGAGAATCGCATTCCCTGCTGAATGACACATATCTCGTTCGGTTCGCATCGCATCTTGCCGAACTCGGTGGTGATCTGCAGAGCGCCCAACTGTGGCACTGCAATCGGACTCGAAATTTGAGGTACATTCTTTCTTTCCTCGGGAAAAAGTCAGCGTTACTTTCTCCTACTACCACCTACCGATAAGAAAATCGCCATCGGCGTTGTAGAAAGCCCTGTCCTTCATGGACGCGTTGCACAAGTACACGTGCACCGCAACGCCCTGGCGCATCTTGGGATCACCGGCACCGCACAGAGTGTGAAGACCCTCGATAAAATCGACTTCGGGATCTCGTCGAGTCGGAACGTCAAAAGTCTTCCATCTTAGCTAAATCGTGAACAATTAGCACTTCACAGAAATAATCTTCCCAGTAGTTTACATAAATCGTAGATTAAAGCATTCAGTGCAAAAGAGATCTGTTTTATTTCTTTTTATAAATTTAAAAATATCAAGAAAGAGAAATTTCATAAAAATTTAAAAACTAAAAAGCTATAATTATGTTAATTGCCTAGTTAGATCGTTAGTGCTCTTGAATTCCAAATTACGGAAATTTACCTGATTGGGATTGGGATGAGTCTCGTTCCAATCATTTCTGAGATAAGATTCGGCACCATTGCCTCGAGTGAAGGGTTCGAACGGAGTGTGAACGACGGAGGGTTTTATCCGATAGAGCCACGATCTTTTATTTTGATTACGCGGAACTAAAAAGTGGAAATAATGACGCTTCTGAGTGATAACATTTTTATTAAATTAAAAACAAATAAAAAATCATGGAATTAGTGATTCATCGCGATAATAAGAAATCCGAATCATATGACATTTCTTACGTATAAAATTCGTGGGATCTTAAGACTTTTCGTTTTATCAAAATCTGATAAGAGACAAATTAAAGACTCGAGACAGAAATCTAATCGGCACTTGCGCTAAAAATAAATTTATCTCTTCTGAGACAAAATAAAATTTTTCTTTTATTTCACATTACATGTATTAATTTATATCCTAATTGACGGATTTTTGCTTTTTTTGAAACAAATTATATTTTTTAAAATTCTAAATTTAGACTGATCGAATTTTCGTTTAATGTATAAATATGGATACCATGTAAGAATCAGGTAATCAAAATACCAAGTATTCTTTAAGACAGATTACTATCAAAAATGTTGAAAGGATTGAGCAAGACGATGATTTTACTCACCGGTGAATGCTGTGCCCGACAATTGTTCGGCGTAAAGACCGTATGGACACTTCTGCGGATTGTTCTGCCCAATAGGCAGTGCTCCTGGACAGCGCTCATCCTCGCTGGAGAACTCACAACCAAATCCCGTGAGATACTAAAAGATACTTCTTGATAGAACAAGCACGCCATCTTTTTCCCGTTAAATTAACACACTCTCGCAATATCAAGTTTCTTTAGATTTCAGCGATTTCTATACCATTTTTCTATATCAAAATGTTCTTTCTTGATTATTTTACACGCTTAAAACGAGAAATACTATGTTAAATTCTAAACAAAATTACATTTAAAAAATTTAGGCTACTCGCAAAACACCATTTAAAAATTTAGTTCAGGACCGGTTGTTCCACCTTCAGATAAACTATGTGTTAATTTATCAAATAAATTTATCACATAGTTTATTCAAAGATGAAATAACTGGTTCTTAGATAATTTTCCAGCTATTATTTCCACGATAAACGACAGCCTTTCTTTACATACAACAAACTTAGCATACTACAAACAAGAAATTTTCATGAAAAAAGTCAATGTCAGAAACGATTTTGCTACCTTAAGCTCGTCCTTCATAACGTCAGTGATTCTTTTGTCCGGGACAGAGCGTTTTCTTTTCCTAGAGCGGAATACAGAGATTTCCGCGCCACTCCCTCGTTTTATACGAACGTGGTCGTCCTTAGGTGACGCAATGACGATAAGAGATCGGTATTATACAAAAACATGTTTACTCACTCCTGGACCAATCGAGCGCGACTATCCAGGTAGGCACGGCCATGTTAATAGGCACGGCTGGCTCTGATAACCAGTCGAAGAGCCAGAAATACCACATTACACTATGGAATTTATCGTCGGGCCTCTCGCGGCCCAGACGAGCCCCTCGCAACGGCACGAAACTCATCGTACGATATTAACGAGCTGTGTGAACCGTATTCAAATCAGTCTCCAACACCGTCAGATATTTTCCGTGAGAGCGTCCGATGAATTTCGTTATTGCGGTATTCTATCAGTAAAGTTCTTTAAATTACTTTTATACAATTCTATTTAATATTTTTCGTCGAGACATTTTTCTTTACCGTTATATGCTCTTTAATGTACTTTTATTTTGTATTTAAATTATAATAAAATTAGACTTATAAATGAAATAATTGACACCTGAGATAACGCTTCTAATAATTTTAAAACGTTAAAAGCGATTAATGAATTTCTTGTGTAAATTTTCCTTCAGATTCCTTCGCGATAAGTTTACATCTGCATACTGATTAGATGCAAACTGATTCGATTTCCATCGTGTTTACTGTTGAAACTCTCGTATCTTTAAGAAAGGCTTACAAGCAGACAAGGCATGTATTAACAGCATGTGTCACACTCTAGATAGATGTTTTGTTGGTTACTTAACGTCATTAAAAATTTACGAGCTCGACTTGTTTGTTACATTCAATGTCGTACCAAAGTATAATACAATATGTAAATACAACATATATTCGTGTTTTATGACATTTATATAATCTAACTAATCGTTTTATGAAATCATCATGTTATTCTTTCTCAATAATTGCATTATACAAATAAATTAGCTGGAGCCATAATCTTTACAAATTTAAATTAATCAATCTGATGCTGCAAATCTTTTTCTCTGCAATATCATACATTTATTATACATAATGACGTAATAAAATATTACTATTGTATGTGCAGGATTTAAAAAACAGGAAATAATAAGAATGTTAAGATACTGAGAAACATATACATATTTATTCTTAATTATGTAAGTAAATAACAGTGATAGCAATATCACCGATCTCTTCATTTTATTGTAACATAAAATGAAGAAATCGATGCGTAATCTTAATTTACGGATTTGTAAAGATTACAATCACAGTAATTTTCATATTTTCATTCTGAATGGCAATGCTGTAATTTAACAGGAATTCGTTTCGCTTTACGTCGAAATTGAATGTTTTGCAGCATCCGAAACGAGTCTACAGCATCGCGCGCATTCACGATGTGCACACGCTCGTCAAAGGATTCCATATATACTTATCTAATCGTTTTCACCTTGATGGCTACTTATCGGTTATCGCGGAAAGTTTATTGACCGCGAGAAAGTTTTGCGTTACGCCGAACGCGTACGCCTCCTCGCACCTTTGGTGTAATTATACGCGGGTTTTCATCAATCATGATTGCAACGAAGACGTCCGTTGCGCCGCGATCCAGATGAAGCAGCGGAAAAGAGAGCAATTTTATTGTAATTTCAGATCGTTAACTGCCGTTATAGGCAATCCGGCAATACTCTTTCTTGTAACTATTTGACAGTATATAATAACCTTATAGTATTATTATAAATTGTTATAAATAAGATTTATATCTTATATGAGATACAACTTATTTTAAGTTTTGTAGTATAAAACAAATTTAATTTAGGCCCACCCGATGGTCACAATAGTCTAGAATGTCTATATAATTGTCCGTTATATACTACACGTAGAATTATATTTGCGTCATTTGACGATATTCATATTGGAGCTCCAGACTCAAGCTCGCTCGCGCAAAGCGCGATTGGAATGCAGAAAACAACACTTGCCATAAACAAGGCATTTGTCATAATTGCGCTCCATATTCTCGAACTTTCACCATGCGGAGAATCAGTCATTTACTGATGGCACGTAATAACAAGTCGATCGCGTTCGCTTAGGAAAGCCTTCAGTTTTTTTTGCCCTGTGAACAGAATCGAATTATCGAAATATATGTTTTTACGTGTCAATCTCGATGTTATCATTATGAACGAGCAAATGGAAATCCACGCTATAATTAAAATGTACGTTAAGATTAAGATCACGCGTTGTTTTCGCGACACGTATGATTGCAGAAAAAAAGAAGAATCTAATTCCAGTTTTTCCTGACAAGTGCAAACGACTTTTGGCTCGCGGTTGCATTGCAAATATAAATCGACGAAGGCGACGGAGCATGACACAATCTAAGAGCATGGCGGAGCAAATAGAACAATTTATAAAAGTACAATACCACGGGGCAGTAGGACAATTCCTTCGTCGCAACGTTCTATTTTCTCCCACGAGACAATAGATAAACGTTAATAAAAAGGAAATTTTCACATATCTTGCTGACAAATCTCACGTTGTGTTTATTTGCTATTTATGTTACCGTATTACATGATATTAATCCGTAATACTTATATAATGCTTAGACATTTCAAGTTTATTGCTAATTTGCGGTGCAATAAATGTTCATTCATACATTTATATGTATGCATTTGTACACGTCAGTTTAACCACCAGGTGTTACTTACAAAAATATTTTACAAAAACGAGTTCCAATACACGTCGGAAATTACGGAAAATTCTACTGCGCTCCGTGCACACATATTGCGCAATACCGATCTGACTGGTTCTCGAATTGACAAAAATCGAGGTGACAGTCTAAGGCTTATTCAATAAGAGACAGGCTACGTGTAGGTGAGTGATGAATTCTCGACATGAACGCTCGTCAACGTCAACTGGGGACCGCTCGGACTAGTTTTATTCCAGTCGCAAGGATTACAAGAAATACAAAATTGTGGAAAGACTAATGTATGCCAAACCTAATTTCACAGGCGATTTAACAACGAACTCAAAAGATCTTAGATTAATTTATTTCACATTCGCTAATTCCAACAAACCAGTAATCGTGACATTTTATCGGATTCCAGTTATATTAAAAATGCGAAATCTAACAATCTCTACAGCGAGAGGAATAGTGAAAGAGCTTTGTTAGTAATAATATCACGATTAGAAACGTTATAATTCGCTCGGTGAGTAAATCTTTATAAGTTAAACGAACAAATAACACAATCCTGAATTATATATTCTCTGTTATATAAATTTACATTTTGTGTAAATGATAAAAAGTAATGACTTTGGGCTTTCTTTGCTATGCTCGGACTGCTAATATTGCTCGATTAATTGATTACGAGAGGAGAAAATACTGAAATAATCCGCGTCATTAAAATGAAATGAAGAAAGGAAAAAGATTGAAAGAGACTTTCTTCGCATGAGCTTTCTTCACGCTTGCTACTTAAAATCGCTTAATCCTGCGATGAATCGTTCGGAAATATTCGCAGGAAGTTGCGCGGTAATTTTTTCGAATTATAAGCCTCTATTCATAAACGCTTATGAATAGAACCCGCGATCACGGAACTCGCGATCAGATTCGCGGTAGCACCTGAAAGAAGAAACGCAGTCCAGCACAAGCAGGGAATAATTCTTTACAGTTAGGTGTAGTGGGATCAAGCGAGGACGAGGCAAGAAATCCTTCTCTCGGTGGGAGATGATAAAGTCACTTCGAAGGAGAAGGAAAGAGCGGTGCCACCTCGCGGCGGCGACGACTTCTCTCTTCCATCTCCCTGTTCGAGAGAGGAGACTTCCTTTTGCATCTCGGGAGAGAGAACTAACGGGGAATGCACAGATGCACACCTGAAGAAAAAGAACTCGATCCCGTGCACGCTTTCTAGGTCGCGCTTACTTTTCAAGAAGGCGCGCGTCGTCTTCTCGTCGAACTAATAAAAAGCAAGCGAAGATGAATATCAATTTTTATGCCGGGCAATAGCTACGCTATTGTTTCGATAAAGATGCCATTTGTTTGCAATTAAGATTTATTTAAAACAAGTAGAAGTAAAAAGATCATTTGACAGAGCAAGTTTATCCGTTAATTCTCATTCAATATCTAGAAATAATAAGAGAGAAACGCACACTGTTACTGTGTTCTCCCAAAATTTTCGCAAATCTATATTTTAACAATAAAAAAATTTACAAGAAAAAATAAAATGAAAAGAACTAAAAAATTTTACAGAGAAGAAAAAGTATCTCAAGCATCATTTAATATCCAAATATAAAAATCTCTAATAAAATAAGAACCTTCTGCAAGGACCATTTAACGTCGATCCCTCCAAAGATCGAAAGGTAAATCGGAACGTAGCGGGAAAAGCCGTAGGATTCAACGTAGTCGGGAGTAGGACAACCGCGAGGAAAGGCAAAAGGACGAGCGATCCGAGAGAGGTTCTTCTCCGGTGGACAGCCGCGGAGTCGTATCCCTACCTCGAACGTCGGGCGA